CAGACAATATGAATCTTTGAGCGATTGATCCTATGTCAGACCCCGAGCTCTCCAAACGAGAACCAGCACTCCTTTGGCGCGATAAGTGCACCATGAAAAGCGACGATACTGATCAGGTCGATCAAGGCTAACCACATCACGCGATCTATTTCTCGTCAAATTCACTGGTTTATGTGATAAGTGAAGCCATCCCCGCAAGTGCCGTAATGACGGCAAAGGTCATGCCGGCTGTGATTTTCAAGAGAAACTCAGAAAAACCACAGCACCTTTCAGTGCCCTTGTCTCAGCCGAATGTTCAACTGAAAAATGGGGTGTCATCTGTAGGCACATGTATATATACATATATGTATGTATATATGTGTTCATCCTTCCACCAAAAGATAATGCTAATCAAATACTCGATAGAGATGGGCGTCAGGCTTCTCAGGCCTTAATTTGCTCAGCTCAGACCAGCGAGTCTTCCGAAACTTGCAATGATCTAGAACTTTTTTCAGTTAAGATGGTCATGAATTCCAGCATCAGAAGAAAAGGGGAGCCGTTCTTCATTGTGGAAGCCACTATGATATGCTGCTAAGTCGAACATGCTAAGCAACTGCCATCAAAATTTTTCGAATAAATATATCATGAACATTAGGCTATCACTCATGATGAATTAATTGTTGCTGCACTCGATCTTGAAGAGAATGGTCGTGAAGTAATCGATTTGGCTTATTGCCGCGAGCACTGACCCATTCCGATGGCTGTAGTTTCTTCTCAAAGTAGTTTAGAATTGGCCAAACTTGTATAGAATGACGCGAGATACTTTCACTACAGAGGCTTCGCGATATTTTCCAGATGCCTCAGGAATTTCGCAGTGTTTGGAGTCAATGTTTGTTTGTTTGTTTGTTTGAGGAAATCGGATCTCGAGTGCAAAAATTCATACGTACCTTTTCACAATCAACAAGAAAGACAGTGTATTTCTCAGCGAATTTATCACCGATTTGCTGTATTTCCTCATGAACCATATCGTGGTCGCGTATGACATGATGTTCATTCGGCCATTTGTACTGCTTTCTATTCTTGCACTACTTTTACTCCTTCTTTAAGTGCGTTAATGAAGATTGAATTCAATGCCGGATTGAATTTCAATTTTGACTCGACGAGGACATTTGCATGTTTGACTACCTTCCCTGCATGAGTAGATGCCGAGCACGTGGTAGTTTTTGCGGTAGCCTTAGCAGAACTGGTGGAACTGCCAGAACACGCCGTGATCGACGATGACGATGAAGATTTTGGACGCGACGAATTACATGCCATAGTGGAAATCCTCAGAAGAGATTCCCGTTAGATGAAGTTGCTTAATTTGAGTATTTTAAGTGAAGGGCATACAAATGTCACGAAGCATAATCATGCCAATGAAGAGCTGGAGGGCTCAGAAGGACAACTGATCGTAGCATAGTGAACTGATGCGTTGACTTGCGACCTTGATGTGACCGTCACGAGACTCTTTCACTCCCTACAGGGAGCGATTTCCGGATTTTTTCCATCAAGTTTTGTTTATCCTTTTGATTTCGGAATTTTTTTCCATCAAGTTTTTTTATCCTTTTTCAAGCATTTTCATGAAGTGACTTAAAGCGATAAACAAAAAAAAGTTGATGGAAAGGAACCGAAAAGAAAATATTTTCCATTTAAAGGGGAAGGGCAAACATATGAGCAAATAATTGAGATAAGTGGATTTTGACCTTTGTGTTCAGGTGAAGCGAGACCTGGAGATGACTAAACTATCTCAAGCATGTATTTCTTCGAGTTGGGCTCCTGGCATATAGTCTTTACCAGTTGACGAATCGACAATCATCGCTCATTTGGCTGCTCTCCAGTTGTTACCACCATTTTTACTTACCATCTTCGATCTCACTGCACAATCTGTTACTCAATCACAATCTTCGAACTGTTACCACACATGAGTATCAATGATAGAGATTATATGGCTAGAAAGCCAACTCCAAGAAAGACATGCTTGAGATAGTTTAGTCAGGTGCGGTCTCTTCACCCAAACACAAGGGGCAAACTTTACCTTTTCCAATTATTTGCTCATTTGTTTGCCCTTCCTCTTTACATGGAAAATATTTTCACTTCGGTTTTTTGCATGGCCTCTTTTTAGTAAACTTTTTCAAGCATTTCCTAAAAATGCTTGAAAAAGGATAACAAAAAGAAGTGGTGGGGAAACACGAGAAATCGACCCCTGGTAGCGAATAAAAGGGACTGGTGAAGGTGACAAGTCAGCGCATCAGTTCACCATGCTTCATCTAGTTATCCTTCTGAGCTTTCTAGCTCTTTCACTGGTATGTTTTTCGTTCGTGAAGGGTTCGCTCTTCCCAACCTCGGATTGCTTAATCAAGCAACTTCAGCTAACAGGGATATTTCTTTTGAAGAATTTCATTTAGGCATGTAAACCGTCAAGTTCGACGTCTTCGGCGTCAGCGACTACTTCGGCTAGCACTGCCTTTGCCGCTCCTGCCAATCCTGCTAAGCCCACCACGAAAATCAAGCGCGAAGTCGGACAAGCACACGTTCTGGTCGAGACCAACCTTAAATTCAATACGGCATTGAACCCAATCCTTGAGAAAGCATTCAAACAGGGGGTAAGAAATGTTGTAACCATAAAAAACCATTCTTTCATCTTTGCGGATCACACAGTAGCGAAGGACTTCGTGACATAGCTACATTCAGGTTGAACAACATGCGCACAAACACGGAGTCATGTACCACCATGACATGGTTCAGGGAAAAACCGAGAAAACCGGTCACAAATTCGCTATGGGATACCGCATCCTTGGTGCTGACTGTGAAGAGGTACACATTCTATAATTTACGGATCGAATCGCTTCACTGTTGAAGGCGAGTCTGATGCACTGTAAATTACTGAGGGCAACAGCAATGTCAAGGTTCTACTGCTTTGGAAAATTGTCAAGGTCCTTCCATGGGCGAAAAAAAANAAAAAAAACCATCGTTGCCGAAAAACGTCCATTTTGTTGATCTCAGAATAATCAATGTGCTGTCAAGTTTTCCGGAATAGAGAGCACGGTTCCTTGCAGTTCAATATTTCTCGAACACGGAACACTTCCTTGCGAATCGATTACTCTGTAATGACTGTTGCCCTTGACTAGGATGAGTTTCCCATTGTGGGATTATGCGTTAGTGCGCTAATATTATGCACTCCAGGATTAACTTTCGACGCATGTTTGTCCTACCTTCCAACATCGTAGGCATGTCGCCATGTATATAATATGGAATTTTTTACAGCTTGAAAAGTTCATATCGACAGGAAAAAAGGAGACGGACCTCATCGGAGTCGTTTTCGCAATGTGCAACGGTAGGCTAATGGTTCTATAAAATTCCAATTCGATTTGTGTAGTCAGAATAAATCTCTGGCTACCACTATTTTGTTCGGAGAAAAAAGCTCAAAAATCAATACGCTATGCTTTTAGTCGTTGTGTCGTGGGACGCCACGTATTCGCTCTTAACTTGAAAAGCTTAAGTATAACAATCGGAATCCGTGCAGCTATGACAATGCAAAAGCTACAGCTATGACTGCAATACTCCTCTTACTATCACCCTACAATTGTGATTCTGAAGGAATCTCTAACCATAAGGTAGTAATTCTGTAGGGTGGTTCGTTTCGCCCCTCACTTAGACGAACCACTTTGTTCCTACTGTCCCTCGGGGCTCTTCAGTAAATGAGGAACAGCAGGAACCAAGGAGTATGTCAGGAATCAACGTGGTAAATAAATATCTACCACAATACTTAAGAGTAATGCTTAAAGATGTACAATGGTAAAGTAAAGGAACAAAAATTAAAAGAATGGCTAAGTACAAAAACAGGAATTGAAAGAAAGTGGTGTGAAAGAGGTAGTATAGAAGAGTCCTATATTTGTATTCGAGTAGGGTATTCATTTGAGAAGAAGGAGATACAAACAAGCTCGTTATGAAAGGCACAGTTCACGATAAAAATTGTTTCGAGATTTCCCTATGCTATGAATTCGAGGCTCTCCCTCATACCATACCTGCCGTATGAGGTCGAAAAACGGCCTGGGTAGGGCACAATAGGGGGCCAGAGACTGTACCGTGTGAATGTCACACCCATAGTGGACGAGTTTCAACGGCTTTGCAGAGGCTGCATTTTCTCAAGAGACTCCCATGTAGGAAGTTATAACAGCTTGTCAATGGCGAATTCAGTTCAGTTCAGGCAATTTCGGCTTGATGTAGTCATCTTTTTGCGCAATGGGAGCAAGCTGAATCTCGTCCAATGCCACCGATGTACTCCTCTACATCAACACTTCCGCTTCTTCACCTGAAAACGGCACCTCAAAATTATCGTGATCTGTGCCTTTAAACGTACATTTCCATTCTGTTGGGATATAAAGGATGTCCCAAACTCACATGCACCAACATTCAAAATCATCCGAGACAAAAAATATTATATAATTTCACGTCACTAGCTTTCCACGGTTTTGCGTGCAGGTGGCCACAAAACGATGCAATGAGGTAGGTTCAACCATTGATAAACCCAAAATGGGTAATGATCTCACGAAACAAAGTTTTCCCCTATTTCGATCCATACTCATTTGTGAGACTATCTGAGAAGCCCTTGCATTGGCCTATATTCCTCTTTTCTTGTCCGTAATCAAACTATGTCAATCCGGGTCTGTTGCACCCTGTATACTGTTTTTT